TCATTCTAATCTCCAGTTAAAATTATTTCAATAAAAATAATTTTTTTCCCCCTTTAAAAAAAAGAATCATTTCATTCGCATATTTTTCATTAATGTAATCAATAAATCTATTTTAATGATAAATAATTTCTTTTAATAATATCATTCATCTATGGCATGTTAAATTTATATTTAAAAATGTAATAATTTATTTTGGGGTTAGTGGGTAATTAGATTTAAGTTTAACTATTTGAATACTAATATTATATATTAAAATATTTTTATTATTAATATATCGGAGTCAACATAATGTACTATTATTTTATAAATGTTAATATATATAATAATTTAATAATTATATAATAACATAGTATTATTATATGACAATTATAAAAATCTATAAAAAAAAAAGTGTATTAATATTAAAATATATGAAAGAAGTTCTATTTATAAAAATAGTCTTATTAATTTTAATTGATTATTATCATAGACTATATATAAATAATATTAATCCTATACCGACAAAATAAATATGATGCCATAAATGTGATTCCAAGTACGGTGTTAGAGACAAAACGTTAAGAGGAAATAAGAGAAAGATTAATGTACAATTATAACCAAAAAGGGGTTGAATAAATTCACTGAAGAGTAAAGGAAAAAAAAATACAAGAAAATAAAAAGAAAAGAGAAGAGAAAGTTGAAGTTGGAAGCAGTTTATCCGTGTAATACTCTTTCCAAGCTAAAAGCCACTCCTTTTCCCTGTACAAAAGGGGTCGCGTTGAGGCCATGGTAATCACTGTACGTGTTTGTTAATCATTTGTATGTGTCTACCTAGCCCTATTCTCTCTCTCTCTGAAATCTCTTGTTGGTGGAACCTTTCTTATTTCATTTTTATTTCTTTTTTCTTTTTTTTTTAAGGGACGAACAAATTCATTTATTTCGTTGCTCGTTTTTTTTTGCGTGGGAGAAAAGGAACATCTTTCCTTTTTATTTTTTTTTAAATTTATTTTATTTTTTGGTTATTATTTTTTCTTTTTCTGAATACTTAGTCATCGGGGCTGGTGGATGACTCGTTTTCTCGTGCTTATCGGTAGCACTAAAACTCTAGTAGTTTATATTTAAAATTAGCGATGAACCACCACCCGTCATCACTTTTTTGCTAATCTCTTTTTTTCTTGTCTGATTTGTTTCTTTTATTTTTTCTTCCCCCTTTTTTCTTTTTACTTTTTTTCGGAGTTCGCGAATAACACACAGCCTGTTAGCACACGTTTCGAGAATCTTTTACGTAATATCTCAATCTCGTATATAATTTTCTTTAATTTTTCTTTTTTTTTCTTTTCTTAATACGAAGTATTTTTCGTAAATATATTCAACGAAAGATCTAAAATAAAATCCTATCTGGTATGTGTTCTTGTTTTTTGTGTAATTTCTTTTATAAAATCGTATTATATTCAAAAAATTATATATCATATGAATATTTGTATATTATTATAATAAGGTTAAGGTTAAAGTTTTCATTGTTTCATAAACCAATATTTACGTTGCTTAGAAATGCAATACATGTTTTTTCTTTTTCTTTTCTTTTAACGTTTGAAACAAGTAAAAGATAAAGAGAGAGAAAGAGTAAGAGAAAGAGATAAAAGATCAACGAAATATGGCGGTTCATTGATCTAAAAAAAAAAAAAGAAAAAGAGTAATACAAGCGGATCTGAACGGTCATAAAATTAATAAGCGCAATGAACGTTAACGAGACTCATAAATATGTTCACTCTGCGCCCTGCTTATCCGCCGATTAGCATAATCATTCGCGATATCCATACTCTACGATTGAAAAATTTCTCGACGTGTATCGCACCACCCACCAGACATCTCTCTTCTTTCTTTCTTTCTTTCTTTCTTTCTTTTTTTCTTTCTCTTTCTCGTAGAATGATTTATATTGCTCTGTATCACAATGCACGACGATAAATCCTTGTCAACGAGTTTGAAACAAACGAGATGATAGATCAACAAGTAAAAAATAATAAAATATAAAAATAAACTCTGTTTTTTTTTTCAACTTGTCCCATCGCTCTATAATAATAATAATAAAAATAAAAATAATAATAATAATCGATTAAAAAAATATAATTAAGTAAGAAACATTATGTTCTCTTGATGAATATACATATAATTCAAAATGAAATTATGTTTAATGTAATATTATTTATTTGAGCAATGTAACATTTATTTTCTCAACGCCATATATTTTAAATACGTTTTATTTGTTTCAGTACGTTTTATGCAATTATTATTATCATTCGTATTAGTTTTCTATTAGAATTATTAGAAGTATTTTGATACATTTCGATTTTAATTGTATTTGTAATATTAAAATGGTCAATATTAATATTTAATTTAAAATTTAAATAAAATATATTATATTACACACACGTATGCATACATATTTATATACATAAACCAATAAATATATCGAACAACCCACATAATATTTAAGATCTCAAGCAAGTTATTCGATCAATATAAAATTTATCTAACAATTTTGGTAATTGTATAAATAATCGTTGATTATTCATGAAAATAATGTTTTAACACGAGTTGTAACAAATTTTTAATTCAATTATGTTGGCGTTTTTCTTCTTTTTTTGGTAAAAATAAAATAATATTGTTTTAATAGAATCATTAGAAATAAATGAAATATATTATATATACATACATATATAGTTTAGTGTAATGATAGGGTAAAATATTATACATAAGGGATTAGGTTTGCAATCAGGGACCAATTAGAGAGAAAAGAAATCTAAGGTTATATTCTCGTCCTCTAATTACACGTCGAGAATTCGCCTATCTTAACATGTTCATTATTAAAGGGTGTACCTGTTTCTTCGTGTATATCTTTATCCTCTTATTAACGTATCAATTACCTTAGGCGATTTAACATAAGCGTAGGTGTACCAAGATTCATATTTTAACGAGATGTACTTTTACATGAGATTTTTTTTTTTCTACAAAAATTATTTCTTATACATAATACAACCGTAAAGTAATGTTAATCTTGTTTAACAATTATTTATACACGTCGTAATATGTCATGAATAATTTATTTTTTTTATTTCTTTTTTTTTTTTTGTTATATAGAAAAAAAGAAAGGAAAATAATTAACGGTGGGAAGATTTTTGAAATTTAACATAAGCGTAGGTGTACTGAGATTTGTTCCCATGACATTTAAAAATGAAATATTTTTGTTTGTATTTAGTTTTTTTTTTTTTGAAGCTACTGTGGAATTAAAAAATGTGACGCATATTTTTTATTTTATGTGGTCATTCTTTATACAAGTTGTATAATAAATTTTTTAATATTTACTTGTTTTTTTTTCATATTTGAAATTGTTTAGAAATATATATATATATGATTTATTTTACATTATTTGTTATATATTTTAATGTAATAAAATATGAACCTTGTCTTTTATTTTTAGTTAAATATTTATACAGTTCATTTGTTATATATATTTTAGGGTTATAAAATATGAACTTTTTTTTATTATATTTTATGTGTACAATTCATTTGTCCTATGTATGTATATATATGATTTTGGTTAGATGAAAATAGAGAGAAGAAAGAATAATTAATGGGGGAAAAATAAATGAAAGCTTTTAGAGAAATCATAAGAGCGTGTTTTTGAACGTTCGTTAACTTCATTTCTTGGGCTTCCAATTTATGCCCCTTTTGTCGGTTTACAGAGGGTAAAATAGTTTGAAAGAGGAGAAAAGTGAGGTAGTATGATGCTGAGCGACGATAAAATGTGAAAGAAGGAAAGAAAGAGAGAGAGAGAGAGAGAGAGAGAGAGGGAGAGAGAGAAATTGTTCTTTCTAAGAATCTGGTGTTGTTGTTCGCAGGTATAAAACTGACTCAGGTTTTCTTTCTCTCTCTCTTTCTTCCTCTTTCTTTCATTCTTTTTTTCTTTCATTTTTTTTTCTTTCATCTTTTTCTCTTTTTCATTCAGTGGCCCTTTAAGAAATCGTGAAGGCCACTGGCGAAAAACTACCTTTAACGAGCACCGTGGTCATCTTTTCTTATTTTTTGTTGGTTTATTTTTTGTTTGTTCCTTAAACTTCTCAGTAATGAGAACGTAGTAGTTGCTTGGGTAACCCTCTCAGAAAGCCGACATAAATGCAATCTCATCTATGATATATATAGATCATCCAAATGATCTATTTACTTTTTATATCTCGTTAATACATTTGATATTAAATATTTTACTTGGTTTTTCTATTTTTTCTTTTTTTAGATTGAAATTATTAATTCCTCTCTTTTAATACAAACGGTAATTAACTTTTCTCTTTTCATTTCTATCATATGTTTCATTAATATTGAAAAACGATACGAAAATGATAAGAATTATTTGGAATTTTTTTTTTCTTTCGTTAAAATAAAAAATAATATTAATAATAAATAATGTATTTTCTATATAGTTGTATTAATTTATTGCATAAATGAACAATAATATTAAATGTAATAATTAATTTCTGTAATAATATCTTATACAGGATGGATCAAAAGTATCCAAATAACTTTAACACTATTTTCTATCAAGCGGTGTCAAAAGATACGTTTCAAAATTTAACTTTAAATTATTCATCACACAAGTTTAATAATTAATTTCTTTGCAATTACTATTTAAACTTTTTGTACGATAATTGTTAAATTAATTCAGTGATATCATTTTCCTCCAGCTGATCTTTGATTTAAAAAAGGAAAAAGTATTTCAATTGATAAAATATTAATTTAAAAAGAAAATGGTTTTGCACAACATTGCGATAGAAATAGTATCAAAAAGAAAATTAATAATCAAATTTAGTTTTAATTCATAAATAAATAAAACTATTGTAATAAAATAGTTGTAAAATATTAATATTAATAATTATGTAATTACTAAATATTTATAATTTAAATAAAATATAATTATTTAAATAAAATATCTTGTATATAAAAAAAAAAAATCAACAAATAATACTGACTTGTTTGAGATCGAGAACAATGGTGACGTATTCATAGTTGTCTCCTCTAGCAAGGGTAGGACTTTGCCACCATTTACCAGGATTAGAATCTAAAGCATGACTGATATTGTGCCTTTTTCCAGGATCAGGGCTCCTTGAATCGCATACGGCGCATCTTGACGATTCCGAGGGTTTACAAAAAGTTTCGGGACCATCCTCGCCGCAGGTTGCATTCACAAATATTTCAGCCTTTGCGGCGACATTAAAGGTTGACGGAAAGAGGCCGCTGTTCTTAAGGCTTTTGCTTAGACCGTGTGCACCGATTTGACCTGTGAACGACAAAAGAAAAAAATTTATAATATAAAAATTCAATTTATGGTGAATAAATAACGTTAGATGATACTTTTTTCCTTTTTTCAATATATGTGATTATACGAATAAGTGTGTGTGGAAGCTATATAAATTAGATCGTTTCATTCAACACATATATATATACACACACACACCTCAATTATAAAATTTCTTAATAGACTTTCATATAGTTCTTCTTAAAGCCTATAATAATCGTTCTTTAACGATCTTCCAGGATTTCTACCATAGGTGGATAATTAACTTACGTGTTAGATTGAATTTATGGCTTATATATTCGTCGGTAGTTTTCTTGCAAGATTTTATAAAATATATGTATCTATATATAACAAAAAACAAAAATAATTTGATCACCGAAATATTTTGTTTTATTTTATTTTATTTCTTGTTTAATATTGTGTTATCTCTGTTTTAGGAAGTATGTTGGTTTCTTTTTAATAAATGAATAACATAATATAAAAGCATAATTCAATTAAGTTTTTTATTATAAAGGGGGTAGGAAGGACTGAAATATTTCCATCGTACACATTTACCCATCAAAAAAAGTATGACACATTTTTATTCTCACGATTCAAGTAATTGAAATAAAAATTAATAAAAAAAAAAACATATTTAATGAACGAAACAAAAACGAATTTAATTACCAAAACTGTTTAGTTTTATTTTATTTTATTTCTTGTTGTTTTTTTTTAATTTTATTCGCTCTGTTTTATGAAGAATATTTAAATGAACGATTCGAGTATGGTTGAATCGATAAAGATCGAAGGAAACGATACCAAGGCGATAGGTTTTGACAGAAAGGTAAGGTAAGATCATCGATCCAACACAGTCGTCGCATAAGCGCAAACAGGTTGCTGTGGTCGACAAACGTGCCAGGAGAAGAATATCGTGAAAGTATGAACAGGTTCGCAGGAGGTTCCGGAGAAGAGTTGAGCACGCCCGTGAACAGGTTCAAGTAACTTCCACTCACGAAAGAGAGAGAGAGAGAGAATATAAAGGTGCGAAGGCACGCGAGAAACGACAGATTATGCTACCTTTTAAATTTTCTTACCTTTTTTTTTCTTTCTTTTTTTCTTGCTTTTTTTCAATTTAACTTTCGCTTACACCTAAAATCCTTTTTTTTTTTAATTTTTTTTTTAAGCCTATACGTTACACGTAATCTTATTTTTATTTTTTTATTTACTTTGTTTTTTATCCTACTATAATAAATCTCATTTTAAATGAATAAATTATCTCTTTACGATTTTTATATTTATATTATTATTATTATTATTGTTATTAGTATTATTTTTATGTTTATGTATAATCGAAGATAGATTTAATAATTATTTATTTTATAATTAATGCGTATAATTTAAATTACATTTCGAAGTTACTGTTTTCTATTTTATTTCTTATATTTTTCTTAAATAACGGATGAAATTTAAAAAAAAAATATGAAACAATAAATTTAACAATCGTATTTCTATTTACACGTTGTGCGATTGAAAAAATTAATAGTAAGGCATAGGTGGGGTGGAACAATGGGAGAAAGAAGTATGACTCGTTATTTCTCGTTTCGTCGTTTTTTCGGATATTTATTGGGAATATTTTTTGTTTAGGTAAAAAATAATAATAGCTTGGCATATATATATCGGAACTCAGGTGAACGTATTCCGCGAGTATCGGAGTCAATGATGATGATGATGATGATGATGATGGGTTTGAACGACGTCGACGCCTCGAAGCTAAAAAGAGAAAAAAAGAAAAAAAAACGATGACCGAGAGGTGTATCCCCCAGATCGATCTCGTATTTTGCTTCTTTCTTTTTAATTTTATTTTTAATTTTTTTTATTTTCCTTAGATCTTATTTTTNTTTTTTCTTTTTTTTTTTTTTTGTAAAAAAGAAGGAACGATTATCGTGAATATCGGTGGTTAGTTTCCTCCCCTCGACTTGATTTCAGCATCGATATCGAACGCGTTCTTGGCAGCCAAGCAAGCAACCAACCAACCAACCAACCAAGTTAGCTTATTTTAACGATCTCTCATATTCAAATAAAAGTGTTGAAAATCATCGATAGCGATCGATTTTAATCGATATTTTCCAATGGAAATTGTTTTATATTTTCTCTTTTTTTTTTTTTTTTATTTTTATATTAAAGACATACTTAATTGTATTATTTTTTTCTTGTTTTTGTGAAAGAAAATATTATAAAATGTTAGTAGGATCAATTAATTTATTACTTTAGCTGGTTAATATAATTTTCATAAATAATAGTTATTTTCCTTTTTTTTTAAATTTATTTTTAGTATCTCAGAATATGATAGTTTCATGTCGAGTAATTTTATAACTAATTGGAATTTTATATAATAAATTATTATTTTTATTAAATTAATTCATACACACATACAGAAGTTGCAGTAGTTAAATTTTAATTAAAATATATTTAATAAGATTTCAGGAACGTAACTCAATATTAATTTTAATATTTTTTTTGAGCAGAATGAAATTTTAAATGATAAATTATTATAAACGTGTCGCGTACGTAGTATTATTGCACATACACACACACACACACACACATATAATACACCTATTTAAGTCGTACAGTAGTAAATTACAAAATTATTTAATTCAGTATCAATAAAATAAAATCTCAAATATAAAAAATGATTAGCAGAATAAATTATTATCAGCAAATGTGTAATCAATGTATTATTTTAAATAATATAAATTCACATACACACACATGCACGCACTTATTTCAATAATTACATCTGTATAATATCCAATAATAAATATTAAAAAATAAATTGTATATCAAAGATATCATTTGAGAATCATAATTCAAACTATTAAATGATTTAGTTATAATTATTACAACGGGATTTATTTATTATAAATATTTTGCAAGATAAATATGGACCGAATAAGAAAGAAATGAAGAAAGGAAGGATGACAGATTATACAATATTGCCAACCAACGTTAGAACTGTAAGTTCCCGGAAGCATGAGCTCATCTCTGGCGACCTAACAACTTCCTCTTAACTCCAAAATGAAGATACTTTCTCTTTTGAGAACCACAAACTATCACGATTCGATGTTTATTCGAGGTAAAAGGGATAGATAATTCGTATCTCTCAGAATCGTTTTATCTTAGTTAACATTTTATCTTTTCTTCCATTCCTTCTTTTATTTTTTATTTTTTTATTTGTTACTTAAACATGCACTCTCGCATAAACACACATATATATATGTTATAATTATATTATTAAAACGTGAAATCTGTTTATTTATAAAATAACTATATTATTCCTTATATATAATATTATTAAATTATAAATTAAAGGACAAATATATATACTTCAATTAATATTTAACTCGAAGAAAAATAAGTTTCCATATTGATTTAAAGAATACAAATTAGTTTCAATTCATAAATAGCCTAATTAAAGTCTACAATTTTTTGTATATGCTTTACCCCTACTCCCCCATCTCAAAACGTTTTATTATTCTAATACAATAATGGAATTGAACAATTTTAACAATTACACGTATACCAAGTTTTCCATGCAAATTACTGGATAATCTCGGCAAATTTTACATATGTGTAAACGCACGTGGTGATTGTGACTCGACCTAAGGAAAGATGGAACGAAGTTATTTCCGTCGTCATCAGTCACTCGTGCCGGTCTTAAGTTCTCCCTCTCTTCCCCTCCCCACCCTTTCAGTACATAAGAAATCTAGAAGTTTGTATAAATATGATATGTGTGCGTGTTGCGTATTTGAGTAGGATAAAGAAAGATAAATAGAAATAAATACGAATGATAGAACCTATGTTAAATATATATATNTATATATATATATATATATATATATATATATAATATGTTGAAGAAATAGAACACATTTCAATATATATTTTTTATTCGATTTATATTTTATTTTTATTAATTTTTTTGTTCCAATTGTAAAAAATATTTTTTCTTTTTTTATCCCTTAAATATTATGAAGAATATTTATATAGGAGTTAGTTACGATTGATCTTATTAGTAATAATAATAATAATAATAATAATAACAATAATAATTTGACATAAGAGAAATGACGTTGAGAGATTGACCGGAGATTGACGGGTAAAGAATATTACAAGAAGACAAAGGAGTTCTCCCATATGTACATATGTGCGTATATATATATATGAACGGTACGGAAGTCGACTGTTCATTGAACGACAAATCGTTTAACTCTGACATGACTCACACGGTTACGCTTCGTTCGGATAATATAATTATTCTACGGAGTTCGTGAAAGTTGGGTCTGTAAATCATTTTATCGGTTAGGATGCGCGTACGATTGGAGACATTTATCGGTATTCGTTGACTCGTCAAATTTAATTATGTAAAGTAAATCACAAGTTGAGTTATGACAATAAATAAATATTTTTAATAAATATTTTCAATATATATATTATTAAATGTTTTATTATTAATATTATTAAGTTGTGATCGTATTCGTAAATGCACCACATTTAATTATCGAGTAAATCATGTGAAGTTATAAAAATGGTTTAATAAATATTTTCAAATATTTTTTTGCGTTAAAAGAAAAATTTGAAGAGTGCGATGACGTGAAATTAAATAATATTAAATATTATATAGATAATACATTTAGTTGCATAACACAAATTGATATTACATATGATATTCTATGCATTATTTTAATATCATATCATAGCGTTATTATTTATAAGATAAAGCAAATATTTTAAATATTTTTATAATAGTTCAAGAAAAAATCTTTTTTTATTTTTTTTTTATGCACTTAAATCTCGAGATAAAAAGAAAGGTGAGACAGATAGATATAGTTATATAGTCGCTTAAGTTTCGTACAAATTTCCTTTTCCTTTTTCTCGTATCTCATGAATGAGTTGCCCTAAGGATTTATTTTGAAAGGTCCAAACTTCTCTCTCTCTCTCTT